CCCGAGTCCGCCTCCGCCCTCCACCGGAGTGAGAAGCCCGAGGGCTGCGTGTCCATCTCGGGGGCAACGTCAGGGGGGGATTTGCTCAGAGGGGGGAATGTCGAGTGGGAAATCGGCGCTAGGCGCCCAGCAGCGAAGCCGCACGGTCCTGGGCGGGGTGGAGCTATCAGGCCCAGATCTGCGATGAATGGGCCATTGGGGTCGGTGCATCCCCCCCTGAGCCTAATGCCCCCCCGAACGTTGCGCCTGACCATCGTCTGCAAGCGGCTCGCCCCGGAGGTGACGGAGGCGGACCTCAAGGGGTTCTTCTCGGACTGCGGCGCCGGGCCGTCCAAAGTGGGGCTCCTGCGCGACAGGGCCACGGGCAGGTCCAGGTGCACGGCCCGGGTCGACTTCCGCAGCACGGAGGACGTGGACGAGGCCATGACGAAGGCGGCGGAGTTACGAGGGCACACCTTCCTCATGGATTACTGCAAGGCGAAGTGAGCCTGGCGCGCCCCCATCGCTCGGTCACCCTGCTTCTTGGCACGCTCCCTTCCTCTGCTACCCACCTACCTTCCTCCAGTGCGGGGCGTACCTTCGCTCCTGGTCCTCCTCATAATCATCCTGGTTCCCAAACTATTCCTCCTCCTCCTGCTCCTCCTCCTCCTCCTTCACCTCTTCCTCGTCCTCCTCCTCCTCCTTCTCCTCTGTCGTTCCTCCTCCATCATTCCTCATCCTCCTCCCCCTCCTACTCCTCCTCCTCCTTCTCCTCCGCCTCCTCCTCCTCGTCCTCCTCCTCGCCCTCCTCCGCATCCGCATCCGCATCCACATCCTCCTCCTCCTCATCCTCCTACTCCTCCTCCTTCTCCTCCTCCTCTCCCTCCTCCTCCCCCCCTCCTCATCCTTCTGATCCTCCGCCTGCTCATCATCTAGGCTCCCCTCCTCCTTCTCCTCCTCCTCCTCCTCTGCTCCTCTCCCTCCTCCTCCTCCCTCCCCTCCTCCTCCACCTCCTCCTCCTCCTCCTCCCATTCCCTCTTCCCCTCTCCCTCTCTCCTCCCCCTTTCATAGCTCCATCCCCGCCCCCCTTCTCCTTTTCCTCCTCCTCCTCCTCCTTCTCCTCCTCTCCGCCATGCTTCCTCCTCCTCCTCCTCCCCCCTCCTCCTCCTCCTCCTCCTCCTCCTCCTCCCTACCCTCTATACCTACTACTACTACACTACTACTACTACTAACTCACTACTACTACCACTACTACCACTACTAACCACTACTACACTACTACTAATAACTACTACTAAACTACTACTACTACTACTACACTACTACTACTACTACTACTACTATACTACGTCTAACTACTACTATACGAACTACTACTATCTACTACTACTACTACTAACTACTACTACTATTACGACTACGACTACTACACTACGACTACGACTACTACTACTACTACTACTAACTACTACTACTACTACTACTACTACACTCTGACTACTTACTAGCGACTACGACTACGACTACGTCGACGACTCGACTACTCGACGACTACGGACTACGACTACGACTGCTACTGCTACTACTACTACGACCTACTACTACTACTACTAACTACTAAACTACTACTACTACTACTACTACTAAACTACTACTCTACTACTACACCTATACTACTACTACTACTACTACTACTACTACTACTGCTGCTGCTACTGTTGCTACTACTACTACTACTACTATTACTACCTACCTACCGACCTACCTACCTACCTACCTACCTACATACCTACTACTACCTACTACTACCTACTACTACTACTACTACTACTACTACTACTACTACTACTACTACTACTACTACTACTACTACTACTACTACTACTACTACTACTACTACTACTACTACTACTACTACTACTACTACTACTACTACTACTACCACTACTACTACTACTACTACTACTACTACCTCCTACTACCTACTACCTACTACCTACTACCTACTACCTACTACCTACTACCTACTACCTACTACCTACTACTACTACTACTACTACTTCTACTACTACTACTGCTACTACTACTACTACTACTACTACTACTACTACTACTACTACTACTACTACTACTACTACTACGACTACGACTACGACTACGACTACCACTACCACTACGACCACTACAACCACTACGACTACTAGGACTACTACCACTACGACTACTACTACTACTTCTACTTCTACTACTACTACTACTACTACTACTACTACTACTACTACTACTACTACTACTACTACTACTACTACTACTACTACTACTACTACTACTACTACTACTGCTAGTCGGTCCCGTGCACCACATCACCACGGCTCAACCGCCTTGGGATGAGCGCCGTTGTGGCTGCCTCATTTCCAGTATGTAGCGAGCACCTCTTTTGGGTGAAATGGCGGGTCTGACGTGCATGCAGCGGCGGGCGCTTATCCGAGGGCAGCTGGTCCCTACGGCCCAGAGTAAAGCGACAGCGGCGGCGCAGCAGCACACGGGGCGACCCCAGTACCGCCATCGAGGCCAACGAGCGCAAGTAGGCGCGAGAAGAGGCCAGGATGGCAAGCCAAAATGGCTAGGCGCACAGCGGCGGCACAGCAGCACACGGGGCGACCCCAGTACCGCCAGCGAGGCCAACGAGCGCAGCCGGCCTGACAGATTAAAAACACCAGTCTGCAGCGACACCCGGTGTTTTTGGAGGGGGCACCCGGATGGGAAAAATATACCATCGGGCCCCCCAGCGTTCCAAAACTGCTACCGGCGCCGAGGCGGGAGCGAGCACTTTTGCCAAGATGCTAAAAAATCATACACCAAACGCACAACAGGGGGCGCCGGGGAGGAGGGGGAGGCGGGCAGCAGGCAGGCCAGCAGGGGGGGGAGGGCCAGGGAGCACACACGTGTGGGAGGGAGCCACATCTAGTCAAGACCGGACACTCGGGGCGACCCCGGCGTCCAGCCCGACTACGTCTTCCGTCGCCAGGGCGACCTGCTCAGCGATTTGGCCCTGCAGGGCGTTGGCCACTGCCGAGCGCAGGGACGAGCGCGCTGCGGGCCGTTCGGCCCTACGGCACGGCGCAGCCACGTCTCCGCCTCTGCGCCCCAGCGGCCATTGACATCGAGAACAAAGGGCACCAGGCCAGAAAATGAGTATCTACGGTGCTTCACTTTTTCTCTGCGCTGCAGGGATGCCTGATGCGGCCGCCCCATCTGGGCCACGGCCACCTCGTCCACCAAGCTGATGTCGAGACACACCCGGCCGTGGAGGCCTCGATGGTAGACGACGTCCAGTGTGGCCGCGCCCTGTTCTTCCGTGTGCCACTCTGGGATGACCTGCTCCACTAGGGCGTGATGGCCCACCCCGCGCAACCAGAGCGCCACGGCATCTCGAATGGCGTTGTGGCGGCGCACCGGGCCGCCTCCCCGGGGGCAGTTGAGCGCATGAATGCAGCGGACGTCCACCGTGCGGCCACACGCCGGGCCGGCCTGCGCCACCGCGCGACTGGGCGCCGCCGGCCAGTTCTGGCACGTGCACTCGGACTGCAGCAGCGGCAAATGCATGCGCCTCTTGGCCGCAATGCAGAACGCGTGGTCGGCGAGGGGCGAAACCCCCTCGAAGTTATCCAACCAGACGCCCGCTGAGCTGCCCGAGGCACTATGCACCGCCGCCGCCGCCGTCACTGGCAGCGCGGCCAAGAATGTCTTGGCGGCGTGGTCCTGTACATGCTGGGTGTACGTCTGCTGGTCCTTGTCCCTCCGCCCTTCCAAGAGGCCCTGCCAACGATCACCCTGGGGGCGACGGCCTCCTGCCAACCGTCCCTGCTCCTCGTCCGCTGCCGAGAGGGCGCGGCCAAGGCCCGGCCACCGCCGAAAGAAGCCAATCGTTGTCGTCTCGCGGAGCTCCTGGGCAGCCGCGTGTATCCCGGCTTCCCAGGACGCCAGGAGGGCAGCGGGGCCGCGCTGTTCGGCGCTGCCACAGCCCAAACCTCCGTCGCTGACCTTCATGAAGATCTGCTCTCGGGGGGCGGCCGTGACCCCCAGAAGGGCGTTGACGAAGGCGACCACTCCGTCATCCACCCTGCGGCCACACGCCGCCGTGAGCGGAAGCGCGCGCTGGATGTGGACGCAGGCGCCCCTCGACCAGATCCGCATCAGCTGGAAGGCGTCAAAGGCAGACAGCCCGTGCGCGCGGAGCGTCAGGAGCTCCCGGAAGTAGCGGTCCTGCTTCTGGAGGAAGGCCTCGCCGCAGGGGAGTGGCATGGCGGCACCCGGGGCGACCCCGGCACCGCCAGCCGGCGCGAGGCCGCCCTCGTCGAGGTCCTCCGGGACGGCAAAGTCCGTGAGCGGGACGTCCCGCCAGTCAGCATCCACGTTGTGGTTTGTGTAGGCCAGGGTAGACCCCACCGCCTTGAGCTTCTGGACGCGGTACTGGGCGTACTCCGCGAACTCCGGCGGCAGGACAGCGTGAGGATCCGGGGACCAGATCTGGGTCTTGGACATCTTCAGCTTCATCCCATGGGCTTCGATGCGGGCTCGCCAGGCATCCAAGCCGCGGAACACAGCAGCCGCGGTGCCCACGAAGTACGCGTCGTCCAAGAACGCCTGGCAATCCCCCTCGACGTCCACCGCGCGCACGGCCGTGCGACCGATGCTGAGGACATCCGCGGTGCCGACCGCGTAGAAGCCAGGGCTCATCGGGCAGCCCTGGTCGAGGCCGCGGATCTGGTCGACCAGCTGGGCAGGTTGGGACCCACCACCCGCCACGTGGCGTGTGCGAGCAGGGAGCCAGGCCTCCGCCAGCGGCGCCAGGGCGGGCACCTTGGAGCGCACGGCCTCCTCCTTCTTGGAGCGCACGACCTACTACCACTACCACGACTACTACTACTACTACTACTACTACTACTACTACTACTACTACTACTACTACGACTACTACTACTACTACTACTACTACTACTACTACTACTACGACTACT